GTGCATAGCTCTGCGCAAACACGGCTCTCGTGTCCCCGTGTCCGGGCTGGCTCACTTAACGGGTAGGCTGGCATCCGCGCCCTTGTCAGCAACGCTGCTGGCTCCTGGGTGAGCGCAGGAGGAGCCATCCCAAGTGCTCTGCACTTCGAGTGAGGACATGCCCATCAATTTTGCTTAGTCTTTACACCAAGAGGAAATCAAAGCGGGCATTTTATTTACCCCTTTGGCTTATTTGTCTTCAGCACAGATCACCACTGTCCCCTAAGGCTCCAGGATTAGGAATCACCGTGGACATGATGAGACGTAGTTTAATAGATATGTACTGTTAACAATGGCTCTACTGTCACAAATGTGAGCAGCTGAGCTGTACTTTAATGGTTGTCTCATAGTATGACGCCATCACACCAGAAGCTTTCAAACACTTTGTGAGCCCAGATTATGCTCTGATGCGAACTGTCTCGTAGGATCCTCGTTGTGATTCCCAGGCACTGCTTCTCCCCATAGGCATCTCTGCAACATGTCTGGCAATTCAAACAACAGCTTATGTAAGTGGGGTTGTATTAAGAAATAATATAGGAGAAAGGTTGTTAGTGATTTTCGTGCCTCTGCATCTCAGTGTCCCAGCTGAGACACAAAATAAGAGTCTGATTATCATGGAGGGGAGGAGGGAGATGCTTTTTAGTCTTCCAAGACTTGGGCATCCAAAAATCAGAGGCACTGAAAAATAAAAGACCACAAACCAGTAATCATTTTTAGAAATCTTGTCTGCACTGCTTCTTAGTGAAACTGCTTTTTTAATGCTAATGTGGAACTGAAAATCTGAAGCCAGTTCCAAGTGACCAGCCAGCACTGTGTGGGACACAAGGAGATCCTCTGGAGCTCACCAGCGGCCCAGGGAATACTGCTGGCAAATTTCTGCCTTGACATATAAGAAATTCCCAAGGTACATTTGAGGAGATACATAAGAAGTGCATAATGAATAATCATTCAAGTATGGTATGCTGTTCTTTACATGAAACCTACCAGAAATTACTCTGAAAATCATATCATTCACTGTCTCATTTTGCCGTGTACGTAGCATCCAGACAGTACAGTTGCTTTAATGATGGCCCTGGTCTTTATAGCTTCTTTTTGTATGTTATTTGCTAACTTGTATTTCTGCAAAATCTTGAGGAAAAAAACACCATCTCCTCGTCTGATAATCTTCCTCCCTTTGCTGCTTAGCAGAAACAGCAGCAGCTGCTCAGACAGCAGGCAGAAATGCACATTTCATCTGTTTTTTTCCCTTCTCTCTCCAAGCAGCAAAGAACCTAGTCAGCAGCGTGTGAAAAGATGGGGTTTCTCCATGGATGAGGTGCTGAAGGACCCAGTAGGACGAGACCAGTTCCTTCGTTTCCTGGAATCGGAATTCAGCTCAGAAAACCTCAGGTGAAACCTTTCTTGAGTTGAACTGAATGAATGAGGCTAATCCTACTCTCTTGCATAGGTGAAATGCAATGCTTGGTCCGTCTTGAACTGCTAAAAACAGCCATTTGAATAAAGTTGAGAATGGCAGGATTTGGCCCATAGCACTGCTACGGATGCCTATGCTAGAACTATGTAAGTAATCTCAGGAACAGTGTTTAGCAGAGCCAGTGTTGTCAAGTATCGTATGCAAAGGCTTGCAAAGTTGTAATAATGTGATGAGACATAGCATATTGCTATTAAGTCCCCTAACAATATATAGGATTTACATGCGTATTTGTGGCAGGGGTCGTGTGAGGGAAACATAGTATGGTGATCACGTGGTTAAAAGTGTTGCAGTACTGGCACTCACCAAATAGGGTTTGCGACAGCTGCTTTTAATTCTGGCACCTCCTAACTATTAAAGAGCTTGACTCTCACCTTAATAGCACTCTCTTCGTGTGGGGATTGTACCTGGCTTCTCATTTTGTGGAAGAAGACAAAACTTCTATTATGAAACACTGTGTAGACACCCATGTGATCCTACATCAGACTGAGAATCTATATATAATCTATTGTGCACAATTCTGCTACTTCAACTACAG